TCAGTCTAAAGAGTTGTAAAATACGTACCTGGTATGTTTGTCAGTCATAGGTGTCTTGTATATTTTATTTGGAATAAAATTACCTTTTTTATCTTGATTTTGTTTTATTTTCCTCTCACTTTCTTATGTGTGGTTCCCTATTTTTGTTGTGTTGAGGTTATCTTTGTGATTAATTGGTTGGTAGTGCTCAACTCAAACCTTCGCTCGGTATGACCTAAAGTTAAATTTCAGTGGTATTGACATCCTAAACTTGAAGAATAGTTTGATCGTATGTTTAGTGGAGTCATTACCACGGGAGATCATGCATGAACCCCTAGTGAGAGAGGGTTTGTTGGCATAGGTGAGCATGTGAATGTTGAGCTAACTTTTGGTTCCAATGAAGCCTCATCCTTAGCCTTAATTAAGTTGAATCTACTAGTCGATTTAAGCAACCTAGGGTTGAGAAAAAAAAAAGAATGTGTTGTTTTTATTAGAAGCCAAATTTCACTGTCGATCGCTTCATGCGCCATTGACTCTGACAATCACAAGCAACTTCCATTCAACAAGTAATGTGAATTGTTGAAGCAACTTAAGAAATTTACGAAGACATGCAGTGTGTTTGGTATTTGATGTATGAGTACTATAACTCATATATTGCTCGCTCTCCTTGTATGACATCTTCATACATTGATGCTAAGTGGGTTGAGGAATTTCTTGTAAGGTATCAAATAATATTTAATAATATGTTTCGTATGACAGCTAATATTCATCGATCTCTTGCAAGAATAACACAAGAATCATGGACTTCACTGCTTCTTCAAAATGACTTCTAGAGAGGTGTTAGCTATAACCCTCCATATTTTATCATAGAATGAATCTATGAGAGGAGACATCGAGCGAGTACAACACTCATCTGAAACAAGCAGTATATATTTTTCAATTAGATTAAATGCTCTAGTCAGTTTCTCCTCATAAATTGTTAAATCTGATGACCTAACACTAGAAAGGACCCAAATAGAGATTTCATAGGACCCACGATATATGTCATATTTTAAGATAAATATGTCAAATGAACACAATAATTTAAATATCATTGTTAAATGCTTTAGAGTTGTATTGGAGTCATCGATGAAACACATGTGGATGCACATATTTCAAATAATAAAAATATCATATTCATCAAGCGATGCAAATCACTAACACAAGATGTTATGGTTATATGTGACTTAACATATGCTTTACTTTTATTACGACTGATTGGGAATGTAGTGCACACAATAATCACATATTCAAATTTGCCACAAAAAACTTGGAAATACAATTTTCCGCAGCACCCTAAGTTTGTTTGAGTTTCAAATGATGAAAAAATATTTTTACTATAATAATAATATTTATTCTATTTATGTCAGATAAATATTATTTTGTCGATGCTGGATATCCCTTATAAAAAGGGTTTCTAAAGTCATTTCTTAATACTAAATATCACATTCTTGATTTTGAAAAAGCTAGTAATGTTGTTTGGGTAGGAAAGAGATGCTTAATAATAGACATTCATCTTTATGCTATGTCATTGAAAATACATTTGAAGTTTGAAAGAAAAAATGAGTCATATTAAGAGAAATGTCGACATGTCTGATTCCTAAGCAAGTGCAGATTGTGGTCGCAATAATGACTCCACACAACTATATTTGGCGGCATAATTCGCGCAACAATATTGGCTTCAATAGGGCTGATGAAGATTATTCACATGTCTCTATTGAAACATATGAATATCGCTTAGGAAAATCTTTATCACCTGATGAAAGTGATTTTCTTGAGACTTGCACCCTAGATGGACAAGCCGGGTAGGAGCGGGGGAGTTGACAGAGTTATAAGAGCAAATTATAAATTACATCGTTAATGATTTAATGAAGTTAGTGTATTTCATATTTGTTGTTATTTTATTTGTAATGTGTTGTGCAAATGTTTATTATTTACTGTATTAATGATTTTTGCAAGGATGAATATCTTTAATCTCAATGTTAATTTTAGTTCTTTTTCATGTTTTTATTCTCACTTAGATGTCCTGCAAGGCAACCATGTGAAATCCCAATGAAATCAACCAAATTCTTCTCTTTTTTTAGTGTTATGGCTTTTGAGGTTCTTCTGGATTGTTTTTTTGATGATATGCATATGTGAAAAATGTGCAAACTGGGTATTACATGGTTTAAAGGCAACCAAGAAATCTTTTTTTTAATAAGATCTACTGTCTTCTTTGTAATGATAGATTCATTGATTTATACACTATTATCTGGGGCATCATAGTTTCATAAAATTTGAATTGATTACTTCTAATATTCTTTATTAATAATGTTGCATCTAAGGGTTTTTGCTTTGTAGTTTTGAACCTTCAGATAAAAAAAGAGTTCAAAGACTTCTAGTACTTTCAGAGTATTGTAACGCTACTGTGGACTACAATGTTCTATGATTACTTCGCGACGTTCGCATAGCTATGAGAAATGATTTTACATGAAACTGTGACTTCTTTAGGGGGGCGGATCAGTTTGAGAATTTCACCGCTGACATTGATTAGACATTGAGAGTTTAATCAAAATAAACACTTAAATATTAATTTTTAAAACACAAAAATTTACATCTTACGCGTATAATATCCTTGTTTCGAAGCCCCTCTTTGGATATCACCGTATATTACTATTGTTTTAAGTCAACAGATACCTATGTATTTACATACTAACACCTAAATCTTATATTTGATATGTGCACTAGAATTCGTGACAATTGAGTGATGATAAATTAATATCTTAGCGTTGCATGAGAACACGACATATACTCAGGCAGTAAAAATGACCAACAAAAACAACAAACATTTTATATGAAAAATCCATAAAAGAAAAAAAAAAACAACGTGGTCTTGTCCAGTTGAAATATTTCACTATGAAATGGTGATTACAAATATAACATATTATTCCCAAGCGGGAAAGTGTTACACAACCTCTTAAGTTATAAAGTAGGTGTGCGGAAGGCCTTGTGGCACTGTAGTAGGGAGCAGTCGCAAGGAGGAGCAAAAATTTAGGGTTTCTAGAGTCGGCACACCGTCTGGAATGATGTGTTGTATCGTAAGTTGTAAAAAACAAAAAATAATAAAAAACTAAAGTACACCATTACCTTCAACCTAATTACTTTCACTTTCAAGATAAAGTGCAAGAGTTTCATGCCTTTGAGCCCAGTTTAAGAGAAGTCACCATAAGTACTTTTTACCTTATGAATTTTCTGAACTCAGTAGCTCTTTCCTAAAATATAACAAAGGAAAAACACTATTATATTTGTTAAATATTTTTGAGTTGCAGAGATTTTTATTATTCGTAAGTGCATATAATTCAGTAAAAATCTTGTATCATAAGAGAAAAAAACAGAGAAAGAAATAGAGAGAGAGAGAGAGAGAGATGGATGAGTCCTAAAAGTGAACCTTATAAAATGTATTTAATTTTTATCTCAGACGAAGCAATAAGATTAGACACCCGAAATTTCCTTGAGTTAACAAGATATCGATAAGGGAGAGAGAGGAATTATCCTTAGCGGAATTATCCTTAGCCAAAAGTTACAGAATTGCTCTGTTGGGCTGTGGAGGCTAAGCACAAGACACGCGACGCATATGCGTCGGGTTGTGGTCGCTTAGCGGCCACTTGGGTGTTGCTCAAATAGAGGAGTTGTCACCTATGGATTGGCTTGATGCCCCCTTTAAAGTGGCCACGACAGAGGAGGGGGTGCTTACGACTCCCCTTTGGATGCTTAGGCACCAATTAAATAGCATGTTTCTTGAGAGTTTGACACATAAGTGCTAAGTCCGGACGTCTATGCCTCAAAAGCGGTTGGTGTCAAGAATTAGTTTTTAATATTGATTTCGAGCGGCGTAAGGATGGACTTGATGTATCTTCCTTTGGTAATCTTTGAAGAGCATCCCGGTGAAGGTGAGGAGTGTCGAAGAGGTGAATTTTAGTGATTCAGCGTGATTTTTGAGTCAAATCGGAGAGGAAAGATTGTGAAGCAAGTCGTGCAAGTTTTTATTGTGTGTAGAGATAATACTTGTGCGAGTTTTTTTTTTTAAATCTTCTGAATTTCATAGCTAAATTTCTTATGATGTGGCTCCGTGTTTTTTTAGTTTTCAGGTTTTTCAAGTAAATTTTTGTGTGTTTTTATGGTTACTTAATTTTGCTTTTGTTTTTACTTTTTGTTTTGGTTGTTTATCGAATTGGCGGGGTAGTGTTATTCCGGGGCGTGGTTTAGTTTTTAATTGATCCTAAACCTCGATAAAGTTGAGAATTATTCATTGAAGATTTCCTATCATTGTCATTTGAATTGTCCTCTTTTTTTTCTTTCTCGTATACACAAGGGAAAAAGACAAAATATAATAATAAACGTGACACATTTCGTACTATATGACGCT